AGGTATAGCTCAAGTTGTCAATTCATTTGCGTTAAAGGTCTTATTTTCTCCCTCAAAGTTCGTCTTCATTGAGAAGCCGCAGTAATACCTACACTCACCCTGTTTGATGAAGTTGTTGATTTTATCTTTTTCACAAGATTCTCCTTTGTTCTTTTACGCTTACCCTATTAACAGTTCGATGCATTGTCGATGCGAGGGAAGCGCTAAACAACGAAAGGCGAAATTCCAAGTAAAACCAAGCTGCGCAAGAACGCCGAAGAATCGAAGGCGTGTCAACGTTAAACACGGACGCGCGAGCGTGCGTCGCCGAAGAAATTGGAAAGATTAACGACGCCAATAAATATCTCCGAAAACCAGTGTGTGTGCGAGCTTAATTCCGCGAAGCCTGTGACGCTGATTTCAACTACCGCGGTCGCATTAGCCCGCCTAAATATACACTGTAAACTTAATTATCCAGCGCGGTATGCGCGATGTATCATCATAAATTTCAAAACCGCCCGGATAAAAAGTAATTCCTTCGGGAGGTGTCTACTCTACCCGATACTTAACGGCGGGGAAATAAGAGCAACCGGCTCTGTGCGTTTCCGATCAAAATCATTGATCCCGCGAGCGACCGGTCAACCTGCAAGAAAGAAAAGAACGCTTGACACGCTCATTACACGTGAGAATCATTGACGTGCGAGAAACCGCGCTAAAAGCAAAACGAGGCCGGCGAGAGAGAGAAAGAGAGAAAGAGGAAGAGTGAGTGAGTGAGTGAGTGAGTGAGTGAGTGAGTGAGTGAGAGAGAGAGTGAGAAAAAGAGAGAAAGAGTGAGTGAGAGAGAGAGAAAAAGAAAGACAGAGTGAGAGAGAGAGAAAGAGTGAGTGAGAGGGAGAGAGAGAGAGGGAGAGAAGAGGGCGAACGGAGACAGACGCAGATAAACGGAGCTCGTGTTTCGGTACTGTAATTTAATTTAATAAATCATCCGGAGCCAGGTGAATTTCGAGTGAAAATAGATTTTTAATCCGGCGGCCATCAATTATACCGCTGAAATAGTTTCGCCGCGAGAAGAGCGGACCGCCGCGCCGGAAAAGGGGACAGTCGGGGGGGTAGAAGGGCGCTGCTCCCGTTTCACGAATCTTCTCGGCTTCGTTTTGCGCTTCTGTCGTCTTCCGAGGAGACTGCTCCGCTCCTCGCCCCGCCGCGCCGCCATCGAGATATCTTCGCACGATCCCGAATATCGCATTTATCATGCCACGCATCCCCTCAGGTGCTAAAGCCTCTTTTTCTCCCGTTGTTCTGCCGACTTCGCTCTGCTCTCTCTCTCCGCCCGTACTTTTCCCGTTCCGCGTATGACGACCCCCTTCGAATATTTATCATCCTCCTGGAACCAATCGGCCATCCTTCCCTCGCTGTACTCGCTCGTTCTCCTCTTTCTTTCGTTTTCTCGCCCCGCGCGCACGGCGACCGTCAAGTCGAGCCGCGCGGCCGCCTCTCCAGAATTTATGGTTCCATTGAAGGGTTCAGCGTCGAGAGGGCCGCCGCCGCCGCCGCCGTGGCTTCCGACGAACCGAACCGACCGAGATCATCCGGCGAATTCATTACCGGAACAACGGGATTCCGAATACAAACGCCGCGATGCGGACGCGCGGACGCGCCGCGCGGCGGCCGTTTACCCCGAAAAAGCGTGGAAGATATTTTGGATTTCGCGGAAATATCCCCGCGTAACGAGAGGCTTGTTCGCTAACAGTTAATTCAAGGTATAGGTTATCATTTACTGTGATTCTTTTCTTTTTTTATATTATTTGTTCATCTCGGACATGACTGTACAGGATCGAAGTGGTCCTTTATTTGTTTTAATTAAGGGTGCCTGGTATGTGCTTAAATTACGTCAGAGAGCATACTTTTTAAATTAACATATGTTTTTGGTATATACATATATATACCAAAAACATATGTTATATACATACATATACCAAAAACATATGTTATATAAATATTATATCAATTTTTAATATATATACATATATCTAATTAAATGTGTTCAATTTTATAATATATATAATTTTTAATATAATTATAAATATTAATATTAATAAATATATAATTTTTATGTATTAAAATTTAAAAATTATATTATTATATAATATATTATAATAATATAATAATATAATAATATATTATATTATATTATTAAAAATTATATACTTATTAATATATTATATATAATTAAATGTGTTCAATTTTGATTTCATTTTTTAATTGTGCGCGAGTGCAGCGTTCGTTTTGGTCACATTTTGAAAGGTAGGGTCTTACGTCTCTTTAAAAAACAGAAAAAAACATTAACTGCTACTAAGTGCTATTGGAACGGTTATTTAACGTTATATTATATTATTACATATATTGACGTTAAAAATGATTTCATAATCCGTTAATTTTTTTGTCAAAATCATGAAGATACGTTTCTATCCAACATGGTGTTGGATAAATCACAGTTTTGTTAGGATATTTCGAGTTCAGTGATTTTCAAGACTCCATAAAAAAGCAATACATACTGATAAAAAATTAATTATATCAGCGTATGTCCCATTTTGCACTCAACAACTTTCGTTTGAAGCATTTTTCTACGGAGAAAACGGTTTTCGAGTAATAGGTGGCAGATCTTGGTGGACCACCCAGTATAATTTGTTCGCGAAGATCTGCGAACTATTGCGCGGCAATGATTGAAAGATATTTCGTTAATGACAGCGAGCGGTGAATGGTCGGGTTCTTGCAAGCCGAAGCAGAGCGGCTCCACAGGTCTTAAAAAAAAAAATATAAAAAGACAGGCCAGTTTGCAATTTTCCGCGGATCTCGGTGAGGTTTTTGTACCATGAAGAGGGCTACTCCGACAACTCGTGTAAGAGACAGCGGGAGAAAGGGGAAAGAGTTGAAGCAGTTTTACTACCGCGACTCTTCTTTCCACTCGTTGCGGGAATCCACGAGTATACTTTCGTTTTTCTGTTCCCTCGATGTTCGTGACCCGCCGCTGAGCGAGGTATAAAATATCGTGTATAAGAAACAGGTCCGATTGAGCTCGAAATGAGAACGCGAAATAGTATTCGGTAGAGACTGCTTATACATGGTGTCCAATAATTATGTTAATAACTGGAAGCAGGTGATTTCTGAGCTGATTTGAAGTAACTTTTTCCTGTACAAAAATGTTCTCCGAGGCATCGTTAACGAATTATTAAAGAACAAACACTGACCAATGAGAGGCGAGCTCGTCTAGCGCTAGGCGGCCGAGCCAACGAGGGGAACTGGGCTTAGGCCGCTCATTGGCTCAGCCGCCTCGCGTCAGCTGATCTCGCTGACGCGGTCGCTTCATTGGTCACTTTCTTTCGTCAATAACTCGTAAACGAAGCCGCGGTTTGCATTTTCGCAAAGGAAAAAGTTGCTTCAAATCACCTCAGGAATCCCCCCTTTACGAGTGTTAACCCTTTACACTCGGATGTCGCCGAGTATATTATATTTTATATATATATTATATTATATCATATTATATTATATTATATTATATTATATTATATTATATTATATTATATTATATTATATTATATT